CAGAAAACTTCTCCCAGTCATTTGAGATCTCAGACTCTGAAACAAAGCTTAACTATACATATTGCTTCCACTCACAGCTCACGGCTCACCTGCTCTCCACACACACTGTGCTGCACGGTGCACATGGCAATCATATTTCAGACTACTTCCTACTAGCATTGCTAGAATGTATTTCTCTCTGATAAATTTCTTCAGCACCTTCTCTGTACAGTTTGAGTACTGCAAGTTTTAAAACCATCATCGTCTGTTCGGGTAAAATTGATACAAACTGGGGACAGGGAGGGAGAAGCTGGGGGCAAAATTTAGTCTTCAAGAGCATATTCCATACATTTGAACATCCCAGAACTTCACTCTTACTTTGCTTTACCTCTTCTAACACTTGTGTCCCAGGCAGCATTCTTTTGTTTGAAGAGGACCAAACCCAAACATTTCACACAGTCATACAGGAAAGATGCAAGACTGTACAATAAAAGGCATCTCCCCTCTTATTTGAATAGAATCATAGAATCATAGAATTTAGGGGTTGGAATGGACTTTACAGATCATCTAGTCCCAACCCCCTGCCATGGGCAAGGACACCTCCTCACTAGATCAGGTTGGCCTTGAACACCACCAGGGCTGGGGCAGCCACAGCCTCCCTGGGCAGCCTGTTCTTATGTTCTAACTGGGGACAGGGGTTGTGAAGTCAGGAATCACACAAAGCACTCAACAGCATATTCTATAACTGCACAATACCTGTTGGCTTTGCTTCAAACAGATCGAAATGCTGCACTGATTAAGATTTACCATCTACTTCTAATTTGGTTTTGGTGACTCAAAAGCACTGAAAATAATAAGCAAGTGACAAGCAAACAGGAGATTCAGGAATGTCTTACCTTCCTCAGCTAGGTCCTTGTTAATAACCAGTTTCCCATGTCTGAGATAGTTCAGCACTGGCCCAAAGTAGGTTGGGTCTCTGTCTATTAAATAGGCACCTGTTTCATCCTAGATTAGAAAAACAAACAAACAAACAAAAAAAAAACCAACCAAAAAAACCCAAAGCACCAAAACCCCCCAAACAAACAAGCCAAAAAACCCACAATGACTTGAATGTCCAAGTGAGAACTGCAAGCTAATATTCAGCCTGGCATCTGAATAGCAGATCTTAAAGCCAGATTTATTAAAGGCATTGCAAGGAATTCCACAGTGTAGCTGTAATGGCATCAGACTGATCACACAGATCATGTACTACACACCTTCTCTTACCTGATCAATCCCCCCAACCCCTTCTCAAAGATTATCAACACTGTTAGCATGAAAGATCTAAGTGGTGGGAGCACTGAAAGTGAGGGTTGAAAATTGCACTTTAAACAAGGAAATTTTGTTTGAAAACCTGATGTATGAGAACAAAGGCTACACTCTAGTGAGGTTCAAATACCAGTTTTACCTTTTTCTTTTTGTTAAATGAAAGGCAGACAAAGCTACTTCTATTTAACACTAACACTTTGTTCTCAAAACACTTAGTTTTGTCTTAAGTCCCATGTACAGATACTCCCAGGCTGCTGAGCACTGCTGTGCACCAAGCAAGGGTTGTGTCTGCACCTTCCAAAAACAGCTCTACTGAAGGTGCAGTTCCTACCTACCTCATGCAGACAATGGAGTAATAGATCAAACTAAGACTCAGTTTACTGAACACACTGCAGTGTTTTGTGAAATGCAGAACAGCTCAGGAAATTCACCTGCACAGCCAATATTCCTGACCAAGAGATAAGGAAGCAGAATTGCTATTTCCCATACTAGAATCTATGTGTGAATCTCTGTGACCAGTGCAGTACTGACATACCTTGTGCTGACCAGAGCTCTGAGGAAGATTGGTAAGAGAGATCCCCTGCTCCTTTCTGCTCCCAAGTGGATCACTGACAGCATTAATTCTTTAGGACCTAAGGTTTTGGTGCAACAGATATCCTACAGATAGCTACAGGAGATACACAAAAATGCACCATAACCAACGATCCTAGCTACATTTGCATCATCCTCCCTCAAAACCACATGTCTCTTGACACTTGCTGTTCCACAGGTAAAAAAATTCTACTGACCCAATCCTTTGCATTTGAACATTAATGCTTATATGCAAAGGTTTGATTACTGAACTGTGATACCTGACAACTGTCTCTACTTAACAGCATCTAAAGTTCCCAAAATGTTCCACTGGAAAAAAGATGGATGTATTTTCAGATGCAGGAGGTTAGTTTCTGAGTAACTGCACTTGTCTGGCCAGAGTTGGCAGAATGCAGAAAGACTCCAGCCTGAACTACAGGAGCCCTGAACACATTTCTGTGGTTACAAGCTAAATGCTTTGCACACTCACAGACACTGCTGTTTTTGAAGTGAAGTGGTGTATAATTTCTATGAAATTAACTGTCCAAGAAGTCACTGGCACATTAAAACGTGCTGACAGCTAACCTATGCTCAGAGCAGACAGTGCTTGACACCACAATTTATTCTGATATAAACTCATGGTGTCACAGAAGCAAGACTGTGCACCAAAACCAGCATAAAATGGTATAGCTTTAATATTTCATATATTCACATGAGCAAAACACTTCAAGAATGAACAACCTACAGATACAACCTGAAAAAATGAACTCAGCTGACAACTGTATGAATTATAAGCTGAAAGCATTATTTCATACAAGAACAGAAACCAGTGAAGTTGAAAAGAGGTAAAACTGATCAAAAGAAATACTGTTTTAAAGAAAAAAGGACAGTGCTTGGTCATCAGCTGAACTGAACTAAGAAACACATTGGCTTACAAAACTAGAAGTCCTCCCAGCAAAGAGAAATAAATCTCTGAAAAGAACCTTCCTCAAGGAGATTATGGTAATTTTTCGCACTACAGTGTTTGCTCACATCAGCTCCTGAAGCAATGCTGGCCACCAGCTCCACTCCCAGAGAGAGAGGTGGGTCCCAGGAGCAAAGACACTAAAAGCTCTAACTGAAACCTCAGGCAGCAGCTACTTCACTCCTCACACAAAATGCCACAACCTTTTTTTTAAGGGGCTACAGTACCTGAAATTACTCTTCCCTGAGTAGATTTATATATACTAAACAGGCTTCCAACAAAACCACGAAGAGAACAAGCTATGTCAGACCTTCTCTTTCAACTTCCTCCTAAGGAGAGGTCACACACAACAGAATGCCACCTCACTAGTGTCACAGCTCACACTGCGAAGCCTATCAGGCAGCAGTGTGCCTTGAAAAAATAACAAAAAAAAGAAGGCACACAAAAAATCTTACCATTCATGGTGTAATAGAATGTGTTTCTTTTTACATTAGTGAATAACACTAGTTAGAGAACTCTGGCTATATTCTAACCGTGTGCAATCCAAATTCTGCCAACAGGATTCACTGCAGCATGTAAATTCCATGCAAAAATTGCTTACCCAGATGACAAACATAGAAAACATGCATGAATTAGCATTTTTCCAAACAGGAAGATGTGGGCCTTGAACACTGAGCTTACAGTGCAGGTATGGTACAGACTAGCACCAGGGGGTCAAGACCCAAAAGGTAAACCGATCAGTAGGGAATATTGTAACCATATTCAAAAAATGCACAGGGAAAAAAGGCACAAAATCGACTTCCTCAGCATCTTCCCATAGAAAATGCCTTAGCACTCCTCCTTTAGAGTGTGCTGCCTCCATGCCCTTCAGTGTATGCTAAGCACCTCATGTTGAAATCACCGAGAAAAGCCGATTACATTAGACCTTTAAGGATATTTATGTCAACATAAATCCAATAAAAGCCAACACAGTAATGCAGCTGTTTGCTCTCCCTAGGAGTCCCAAAATACAGGTCATAACTCTTTCCACACTTTCAGAATATTACCAGGATTGGTTTCATCCAGGTGTCAACAAAAACACATTGTATTCTCACCTGTAATTAGCATTTTGACACTTTCTAAAAGAAACAGTTTTCTTTAATAAATTGCACTTCAAATGTGACCTAGACAGTTTAAAGTAAAGCAGAATGTCTAGTAAAACTAGACAGAACTAGTTTTAGGCTCACTAGCTTAAACATTAACAGACTTTGGTGTCCCACCTATGCAATTGTCTCTGCTAAACTAGTAAATTAGTTTCTACAAGCTTTGAGCAAGTTTGAATCTTCACTGACACATTTCCCAAGCTTCAGGTGAACACCACAAGTGTCAGACAGACCTGTATTCTAATAAGGTTTCAGCTTTCTCTCTTTCACACAAACAGGTGTCAATGTTTAGCAGAACAGAGGCTGAAACTCAAGTTTCCTCTCTATTCAGTAGCGTCACATCCCCCCACATTTCAAGCCCATAGGTGTGTCGTGAAAGTTTTGACACTCTTGGTAAGAGAACTCAAAGCAAATGCACCAGTCACCTTTGTGCATCCAGCCCAGAAGTGCTAATGAACCACAGGAGTGTTTGTATCTTTACCCAGTTCTATTGTTGCATTACATTCTTCTAACAAGAGTTTTTCCTTCCTTGTCCATAAGTCCTAGACCTTTTCCATACCTGATTACGAGGACACTATATCAAGGACAGCATTGCTCAGGTACAGTGAGGACTGCATTTGTTTATTACCACTCTCCCACACTAACCTTTAGTCCAAATTACAAACACCATGGAATTTCTGAGGAAGCCTACTAACTTGCTCTTAAGTTTTCCATCACCTGGTCCAGTGTGCCAATGAAAAGTGATCTTAGTTTAGAACATACATAGGACTCAATTAATTTACAGTGAAATTTAATCTTTCAAAAGCAGTGGTGAAACCTAACCATTCTGTGCAAGCCATTCCAGTAACTAATTACTGTCACTGTTAAAAATAAGTACTTTCTAGCATGGACATGTATGGTTTGACACTTCACTAGCTGCATCTGACAATACCTTTGCTAGGCTGAACAGGCTTCACTGTTAGATTTCTGTCTCCATGTATGTACATCTGGACTGAGAACTCACTCCTTAAATTCCCTGCCAAACAAAAAGTCCTTTTGCTCTTTACAACCTTCTGCCAGATCATGTTCTACCCTGTGCCTCCCCACTCCCCTGCTGTGACCTTGGACTGTGGATACAAGAACCAGGTACAGGATTCCAGGAGGACTCAAAGGGGTGGACCAAACACATACACCTCCCACATCCCATTTAACCATCTCCCCTGGAAGTGCACTGAAACGACAGCTCAAATGTACTCCTGGTTAATTCTCTCCATGGAGATCAATGCTCTTCCAGAATGGATACACTCAGAATCTACACCACCAAAGCTCCTGACTCAAGGCTGCGTGCTCCAACATACAATTTACATATACTGAGCAGGCAGAAGCTCGACTAGAGGCAGCAACATGCACAGAAATACATCACCAACTGGACCCGAATCTGGATTTAGAAATACTTGTCTCCCCTACCCCCTATGCATTTTGAATCTTGAGCTAGATGCCCAGAACACATTTTTCAACAAACTACATGGCCTAAAAACTTTGAGCATCAGCAGACTGCCAGTACTAATCAAAACTGCAGTAGTAACACAACCCACCTAGCCAGTCAGAAATCTCACAGACAAATAAAGTTGTATCTTGGAATAATGACTACAGTTTTGATATTTCTTAGTGCTGCCAGTTAGGAATGTGCTGCCAAGAAGGTCTGGATTTTTCTAACACAGTCAGTGCTTGCTTGCTTCCTTGACAGATTCTACCTGAGTACAAATACATCTAACTTTAGAAAGGCAATAAAAATCAAGCATGAATACTGTTGGCAAAACCTTACTAAGAAAGTCTGACAATCTTCTTCCTTAGGAGCAGGTTAAAAGAATGACAGAATAGTTTGTATAAGAAAAACTGGCATATAGCTTCTTGAGTTCTGTCAGGTATGGGGCTGTGACACTGCCCTGGGAGCTGTTCCAGTGCCCAAACAGCTCTGGGGGAAGAAGCTTTGCCTGATACCCAGCCTAACCCTCCCCTGCCACAGCCCGAGCCGTTCCTTG